ACTGTTTTTAACACGTACATAGTGTGGAGAGAAGCGCCGGTCAAACTCTCTCTGAGCCAAGATTCCTCCCTGTCCAGGAGCGCTGGTGTAGCCAACCTGCAGGAAGGGAAGAAGGGGACACTTTAGCTTCTAACACATCACTATGACTGGAAATGCTTTGACTCACTAAGGACTTTAACTGCTTTTACCACAACTTGTCCTCCCTCCTGAACCAGGTAGCTGACGGTAGCAGAGGTAAAATTAAAGTATCCAGCCTTCAGGGGGCGCAACACCACTGTGTGAGAGACGTTGCTGGCTCTAAAAGTTTCAGAGTTAAGAATGATGACTTGGAGAAAGAGCCCATCTGTGGTTATTTAAACCAACTTAAATCAAATTCCTGCATTCCTGCTTCATTAAGGCCTCCGTCTTATGAACCATGAAGAGTGAATACTGCTTTAGGTTCAGCGGCCTGAAAAGCTATCATTTCACTATTTGGTCCTACGGTGTAAGATGAAAAAACTGTGGTGCAAAAAAAGAGGCTGCCATAGAGACACCCAGTAACTTATGTTTGATTAAGAATTTAAGATCAAACTCCCATTAAGCCACAATTAATGCGTCACAAATAGCTCAAGTTTGATAGTGCCAGTGAGAAGTCATTTTACTGCAAGGATACGGTGCAATCCTGTCCCATTTCACATTCAGCATTCCGGAAACAATTCCAAAATCTTCAGGGGGAAAAGAATCATCGGATAGTTCCACCTCTAGAGCTGCACTGTGGAGACAAACCAGATGATGACATTTAGTCACACAGTATGCACTAAACATTTGATCAGGTCTTGACAAGCTCTCATGCAGTTCACATTTCAACAATCCTGAAAACGTCTTGATAACGTTCAAACTTACTGATGAAGTGATTATTAAACAGCAGTTTGTTAAGAAACAACCGAATAAAATGTGTCGTTTGGTTTTCTGTGTGTATTCATTTGTACAGTTATCTGATTTACAGCAGCTGTCCAGATATCTGACCTGGAGCCCACGTTGTAGACGCTGTACTGGAGGGTCAGGTCGCGGCCCTCCACAGCATAGCGGTTCAGGAGGGATTTGGAGGCCAACAAACGGGCGCCCTCTTCTCCTGAGCCCAGACTCAGCAGAGAAAGGATTACAAACACGTGCAGCATCCTGGTCATCTGGTCAAAACAAACAACAAAACAAAAAAAGGAAAATAAACTGGGGTTAGGACATAGGTGTCAAACTCTGGCCCGTGGGCGAAGCCATAACAAATTACTATCAGAGCTGGCCTACTGGTATTATACAGCTAACATATTTATTGTTTAGTATTAAGCTTTGCTTGTTCCATATTCAGTTTTTCAGCAAAACGTGTTTGAGTCCATAAGAAAAGATTCATTCTTATATCTGGAGGATAAATATATTTCAATAAATATTAACGTTAGCCCGCAACTTTGTTCCAGTTTTGAATTTTGGCCCACTGTGTGTTTGAGTTTGACACCCCTGGGTTAGGAGGAGACGATGACTACAAAGTATGGTGAAACTATAGCCAGGAGTCCAGGCTGGTTTTGAAATAAAACAATATGCGGTAGTGTCCAGGTATCCAACTCAATTTAGCATAAACAACAAAAAAGAAAAACAATCTGCAGTCAGTCTTTAAACGGACACTGCTTCCTATTTATCTCGGGTTTGACTTTCAAAAGACGAAAGAAAAATCGCGACTGGGAGGTAATTTTAAAAGGCTGTTACGATGTGTTACTAATGAAGTGTCCGGCTTCAAGTCAGAGTGCTCAACACTAACCGGTGCAGACGCTTACGTGGACCAAAGCAGTCACATCTTCATTTGCGTTAGTAAGAAAATTATAGTAAGTAACAACGCTTTATGTCTAACAGGCGTTTCATAGATTCGCTGTATAATAACAATATGTCCGCTCCTAAAATAAAACATTACTAAATTATAACTCCGAAGCTTTAAAATAAAAACAGGAAGAGATTTTTTACCTTCCTCTAGTTCTCTTCAAATGGCAGAAAGTAAAGGAGCTAGTCACGCGCATGCTCAGAAGCTTAACGCCTGTTTTTACATGACGTGTACCGAGGGGGAGTTAAAGAAGACTGCGAACTGCAGCGCCCCTGGTGTTCGGGAGGGAGATAGGAGTCATTGGAAAAGAACGTAGCTCATTATGCAGAAAATGTAAAAGTACTTGTTGATCAGTTGAATTTGAATACATATAAAACGGTTTATGTACAAAATATAATTCATTGAGAATAAAATTCTCACTGCAGGTTCTCTGATCTTAATAAGATAACTCTTTATTGTTAAGAGTTATCATAGTCACTATGTATGACTATGTATGCACAGTCATACATAGTACAATAGTACAATGAGGTTGGAAAACTGTTCTACGTCGGCACTACATATAACACAACACGACACGATATGACACATCACAACGCAACAAAAACAACACAATGCTCACAGACAAGACCCTCCATGAATACAGGCATTACATTATATTTGCATATAGAAATGAAAAATGAAAATACTCCCAAAACTTGCATTTCTAATCCTAGGACTTCAAAGGCTGTAAATGATTTTTGGTTATACTTTATACATGAATCAAAAACAAATGCAGGCATTCATCAGTTTGCCTTTGGATTCTATTTGTCAAACTTTTATGTAATTCATTCATTTGAAAATGTTCTCGTTTTTGTATCATCACTTGGGCTCTGCTGTGTTACCATGCCAACAGAATCTGGTGGTAATTCAGTGTCAATATTCACATCAAGATGTTCCTTGCCAGCCACTCTGCTTTCATCTATTATCAGATGATAGCAGATGCTTATCTGGTACCGTATCAGCATTTCCTGTAACACTCAAAGATGCCACCAAAGGTTTCCAGAACTATCTTGTCCCCTGCCTGTAATGCTAAATATATAAGTGTACACAAATAACAAATTTTCCATTACGTAAGAATACAGAAATTTGAAATACGCAAAATTTCTCTGTTTTATGCAAGAATAAAATAAAATACAGTTGTTTTAGTTTTAAATTTAAATTAAATCATGTATATTTTATCAGATTTTGTATGTATGTAGTTTACAAAACAACAACAACATGTAGTTCAATGTGTAAAAAAAAATATATGGACAAACACTTTTTAAAAAAAAAAAAATAAGGCCTAATATGGAAAAAATAATATTGGGCTTTATCATGTGAGTTTATTTGAAAACTCTTGTAATTTTATTCCATAATTAATGTAATAATGTTTTCTCATCCATTTAACAAAAGTCAAAATACTTTTATTAAACTAGTAACTGGGTTTAAAATACATTTTTGATACACCAAGTGAATAATCGGTTTTTACATGTATTCTTACATTAGATTAATGGATTAACCCTTTTAAGGATATCCATAAAATGTTATTGTAATTACAATATACTGATAATTGCAGAATTACAGATCAATAGAGAACTTTGCTGTCAGACTGCAGAGTGTTCAGCTTTCAGGATCCTCTTCTATGGAACCAGCTCCCAGCTCGGGTTCTGAAGACAGACATGTTTGGTACTTAAGATTAAGATTAGGCTGAAAACCTTCTTATTTTTGTGCTTAAATATATAATTATGCTGTACTTAGGCTGCATTTCCCCTTTTCTCACTTCTTTCTCTCACCATGTGTTTACAGACCACTCTAGATTTAATCATGAGTTATTAATAATCCCTGGCTGTCTGCCCCAGCATGTCTCTTGTCCTGTCTCCCTCCCTTCACCCCCAACAAGTTGCGCCTCCTTGTGCCTGGTTCTGCTGGAGGTTTTCCTTCCCACTGTCACAACCTAGGGGTGACTGTTGGTTGTGATTTGGCACTGTTTAAATTTGAAATGAATTGAATAGATCTTATCAAGTACCTGCTGATGGATATGAATAATTAAAGAGTTGAGCTTAATGAAACATTAGCTTTACTTTATATAATAATTTGTTGTATTTGTCCTTCATTTTTTTTTAAGTTAACAAAAAAAAGTCTAATGCTGCTGTAAGAGCGCTTTCTCACTTTATATAAATGTCCTACTTAAACTGTGGTTGAATGACATAAATTAGGAAATAATGCGATTTTGTTTTACACTAACGAGTCTGAAACAATTAGGACACTTACTTCCTGTTTCAGTACTGAGTACACAGATCACATTTATAGATCGGATAGACAGGAAAAAGCAACACGAGCAGCTTCATGTTTTTGATCTCATGAAGATGTACAACTTTTTTGGCATTTATTCAAAGTATAACGAACTGAGGAGAAAGCACACCCACCATATAAAGGTGATCACTCACAACAAATATACCGACATTCCGTAACTGTTCATTGAACCCAAACCATGGCAGTAAATTGTAGCATAGCAAAGTGATCTGATCCACTCGTGGTTGAGGTGAGGCTTCAGGTTTTTTGTCACATCTTTGAAAAATTGTATGAAACCTAATTTTAACCACTAGGTGGAGATAAATGTCTTTGTCGCCAGTGGGATGGCTCTGTAGTCCAGATCAGATGAGCTGAGACAGATCTGTGCATTTAGTTGATCATAAAACATGTAGATTAGGCTACATTAAATTTCAGAATAAATTTCACAGAATGAACCACGTGGCATAGATACTCCTTTGGACACATAATTGCCAGAACTGCCTCACTCACTCCAGAATATTTCCACCTATTAACCTGAAAAGCTCTGTGCTTGTTTTGGCCATGTTGTGGATTTTTGTTCTGCTGAATAATGAAACGTTGTCCGGTCAGTTCCGATGTCACAGTACACCCCTGTAATCCTGGTGTTTCCAACACCTGTGTGATCATGAATAAATGCGCCAATTCAGTTTGTAAAAATAAATGTGGTTTTTGGCTCCCGACCTGCATTTTTCTTTTCTTGCTGTGCAAGTAGGTGTGTTCAGCTCATTCATAAAATGTCGCTGCCGGTGAGGATATATAAAGCACAGCGCTGCAGGTTACTCATCCATCAGCTCCGTCAGGTGCAGTCATGCTTCGTACCGTCAGCGCGCTCCGGCTCCTCGCGCTCCTGCTGCTGCTGAGCGTGAGTTCAGCTGTTGAAAATAACGCCACAGAGTCCGTCAGTCCTCAGCTGGTCCTTGAAACTCAGGAGCCGCCGACCGATGAAGACACAAACCAGGCGAGGAATAGAGGGAGACGGCCTTCTGACGCTCTGCATGATGGTGAGTCCAAATGGCTAAAATTAAATAATGTGATAGAAAACATCATAAAGTATTATGTGACAGTAATACAACTCAAATTGAAAAGAAAAAAATTCTAGTTTGGAATAAGAATATTTATTTATTTATGTATTTATTTATTTATATTATGATGATGCAATCAGTTTAAACCTAGGTAAAAAGTAATCTTACAAAAGAAAAAACTAAAAGATATCCATGTCTGGAATCCAGGATTTATTAAAAAACTGTAATTAAAACACACGCAGTGCCGTGCACGGTCCACAGTGAAGCCCAAAGCCCGTTGTCAATACAGATATACATCCTAGCTGCTGGTGTTTTTGCAGGTGCGTGCTGTAAATGTCTGTCTGTTTAGATTATATAACACCTGACAGAACACCTTTGGGATGAACTAGAATGGAGACTGTGAGCCAGGTCTTCTCTCTCAACATGAATCTGATCTGACAAATGAGCTTCTGGAAAAATGATCAAAAACTTCCATAAGCACATAAACATAAACTTATAGCTGCAAAGGGTGAGCAAAGGATATCACTCAAGTTCATATGCAGACAAAGGAACTTTCAGCAGTGGAGGGTCGATTGTCACATCGCTTATTACTCTCTCATTAGAGACACTGTGGAATTCTGTCGATATCCCACATCTGACCTGATGATGGGAGGAGATATTTTTGTCATTTTCACTGGTGATAGTAAATTTTAATGTTGTTGTTGTGGTTTTTGTATTATAAGACCACACCAATATTAATCATTTAAAAAGTGGACGATTATTAAAAAGCTGAAAGTAATTCCTTCGGGTTCAATCGGTTAAAATGTTTCTAAAGTTCGGGTTGGTTCTCATACATGTAACAACCAACATAGTCATCTGTTGGTAAACACTGAACAAAATGACCGTCTTTTAAAAAATATAAGGAACCTTTGAGCTTTTTTAATGATGTCAATGATACATCAGTTCAAAATACAGTCGTGGAATTAATTCTCACTTGTTTTTGTGGCTTTAATAAAGGCTGAATTATTAAGTTCACGGCTCATAAATCACAATAGAAATGTTTTAGACTCCTGCAGCAAACACTTAAAAGAAAACCTCCTCAGAAGTTTCATAATACTAATGCTAAGTAGACAGAGTGATGAGGAGTAAAGTCACTTAGTGCAGCAAATAAATATTTTTGAAAAAAGCCTGTTTTATTTCTCTGTGAAAGAAGTCAGGCTCTATTTCTATAGTTGAATGATTATAGCACCGTGCTGCTCCCTGCCCTGATGTAACAGAGTTCACCCATCAGTCTCTTCTCACTCTTGTTAATAATCACAACAGAATAACATTTATTTAATTCAACTCTGGATTCCTGTGTTTAAGTGGATGGACAGCAGATATAAGGCTTCACAATCTATAACAAAAATAATACTGAGACTCTGGATATTTTCTTCTATACATGCACATATGCCCACTTACAATAAGTGGAAGAAGAAGTATTAAAAACAGGACTTTTATAACTCAAGGCAACACAAATTATGGCTAATTTGTGTTGCCTTTTCTCCAAGGACTAAGAGTCATCTTTGAATCTTGTCTTGTAGCTCATATAATAGTTAAAGCAGCAGCTGTGTCGAGTATGGCTGTGGCCCAACTGCAGGACTCAGGGACAAACATGACACAAGATAGGAGAGTGGGGAGAAGCAGACATGGAAACATGATAACAAAACATAGGCAAGACAGACTGGACATGAACGGGGCATTCCCATTATGAAAATAAGAACTGTAAACAGCAGCTCAGAGGCTCTGGAAGAACAACATATTCATAATTAATTATATTTACAAAGGAATGAATAAGTCCAGAAAGAGACTCAGGACCACGACAAGCTCATGGGAAAAGGAGAATGCAACTGTCATTTTAAATGTTGGAAAAAACTGTTTTCCTAATTTCGATGTTTGAATCCGTTTACTTATTTGTTTGCAATTTAATTTTAGATTTTTTTATAAATCTTTTTTTTTTAATCAAGAGCTGAGTGTCTTTTTCTGTAACATTCATTTCAAAGTTCTCTTTTATTAACAGTTAAATGATGAAATAACTATTGATTTATAATTATTAATGTCTAAATAAAGAAAAGAAATTCAGCAGCAGTTTTTAACATTATTAACACACAACACATTATTAAATCACAAAATGCTTTTCATGAGCATGACTCTCGGTCCAGATATGAACCTGGTAGATGCTGATTTAAAAAAGACAAACTGTGTCATGAAGTGCAGAAATGTGGAAATATGAGACTAACATGAACACGTCATGAACTGGTATCATGGGACAGTTAGTGGTGTGAATTTCAAATCATGTTAAATTCTTTTACAACAGAAACATCAGCAGCTGTTTTAACTGGGTTTAAACCAATTCTTCACCTTCAGTTTAACGACAAATCATCATCGTTGTAAATGTTTCAGTTGTCATTTTACAAATTCATATTCAGCTCTGATGCTGTTTTTAGCTTCCTGAAAGTACCAGCAGGAGCCCTGACACTGATTTCACTGATTTCACTGATTTCACTGATTTCACTGATTTCACTGATTTCACTGATTTCACCATGGACCTCAAATGTGCAGATCGACTCAAACTGACCCAAATTTAATATTGAGGATGTGTGTGTGTATATACATATATATATATGTTCATTTTGAATGCTACATCAACTGTATGTGCAGCGGACACAGCGAGGGGGCAATTCTGTGTGTGCAAACTCAGAAATGTAGACGTAAACTGAGGTAGACCAGGGCAATAAACTCCAGCCGGGTGTTTAGAAGTCTAATGGCATTGGAGAAGAAAGAGTTCTTTAATCTACACTTCTCACTTCTACACCTCTGGCCTGAGAGTAGAAGTGTGAAATTTGCTGTTGGGTCCTTGAGGATGAAGGCAGCTATCCTTCATCCTTCATTCAGCTGTGAGAGGACAGGGCAATCTTAATGATCTTCTTGGGTTATGTCTACACTAATCCGGATAAATTGATAAAAGTCTAAAAACGCTCCACACTATCATTTTCAGTGAAAACGCTGCGTTCTTATACTGCACATGCGTGAAAAGTAAGACGTTTGAGCTGCGTCATTTCCGTCTGCCGTTTATTTGCTTTCCAGCTCTTTGAAAAGTCAAAATGTTGAGGAAAAGTTTTATCTGGAGCTATTTGGAGCATGTACAAACTGAAATAAATCTTTAATAGGGCTGTGACTGAGAGCAACCAAAACAGCTCCTGTACAATGCCTCCCGCCATCTTAGTTGAATTGGTCACATGACTGCAGCATATGACTAAAATGCGTCACCATTTTCGAAAGCCTTTTTTTTTTATCCACTGTGGAGAGCGTTCTCAAAAAGCTCAGTTTCAGTGTGGACGCGCCAAAACGAAGAGAAAAAGATGCGTTTTCGTTTGAAAATGTATTAGTGTGGACGTGGCCTTGGCTGTATTTGCAGTTCATAGCATTTGTGTTGCCATACCACACAGTGACGCTCTCAATCATGACTGTCAACAAAAAGCATCGTGACGCAGACATCTTTATTCTCTAAGTCACACAGAGAATAATGTAGCACATGACAGGGGTCCAAACTATGCTGTTGTGAATGTGGGCCAGCACTACCAACTTAAAACAAAACAAAAAACAATAATGTATATATATATATGCACACACACACTTTAGAATAACAAGAAGACCGATCTAAGACCGATCTAAGCTACACATATATGTAACTCACTTTTCATGTCTCAGGGCCAGACCAGAGCCAGGTGGGCTGCAGGGAGTTGAGGTCCACGAAGTACATCTCTGATGGCCAGTGCACCAGTGTCAACCCTATCAAGGAGCTGGTGTGTGCTGGGGAGTGTCTGCCAGCTCAGCTGCTGCCCAACTGGATTGGTAGAACTCACACTGGGAGGTACTGGAGCCGCCGCGATGCTCAGGAGTGGCGCTGTGTTATCGATCGAACCAGGACCCAGCGGATCCAGCTGCAGTGCCACGACGGGAGCACGAGGACCTACAAGATAACTGTGGTGACCTCCTGCAAATGCAAGCGCTACACCAGACAGCAGAACGATTCGCGACACAAGGACGCGTCTGGAAATACTGGGAAACAGAGGAAGAATCAGGGGAAGCCTGGACTGCTGGAGACGAATGCTGGGAGGGAGTCTGCTAACTGAAACCTGATCTCACAGCTACAAAGAAAAAACCTTCATATTGTCACTATAAATGTTTTTGTATGAACTATAAGTGTGCAAATAGTCATTAAAACTTTAAGAGGCAGAATAGATATAAACAAAGGTGAATAGTATAGTGTTATCTCCATATTTACTTTGATACAGTAACTAGTCTGTAGACCAAAATATAGCTCGTTTGTTCACATGAAATATGTTTGACATCTGCAACTGTTCAGAAAGCAGTAACAGCTGAGCTACAGCTGGTGACATCTGTCTAATCTTTCTGGAGAGAAGTGTTGTCTTATCTTTTCCGTACATTTTTTGAACAGCAGTGATTTTGTCACACTGACAGTATTCTTATTATTCGTATAGTGTGAATATGAGCACATGTTATATATTTTAGCTTGATGTAGAGATGTAGATTTGCTGTCCTTCTTTGGTTTTGCCTCATTGTAGCATTTAGTGTTATGTTAGCAGCAGAGCGTCTCTGAGGAAGGGTCGTGCTGGGATGAAACTGTCTTTGTGTGGATTGATGGGCATCAGGTTACAAAAGCAACAGGAAAGTGTTTTGCAGTCTCATCCATGTCTGCGCATCTCTGTAACACTTCTTGTATCGTCCTGAGAAAGTTGTTGTGATTGAGGCATGATGGCTGCAAGTCATGCTTCTTGAGGAGAGCATACTTTGGTTATTTATAAGAAAGGGACAGGGGCTGTCAACAACCTATTCTCGACCAAATAATTGAAATACGTGCCTCTATTCAATGTTTCCAGCCTTTACTGTGAATTATTGCTCATTGTTTCCAAAAATGATATGAAAAGTGATAAAGTTACAAACTCATTTTAAAAGTAATCAATAAAGAAGTGGTAATTCCAGGATTATAGCGTTTCATGCAGCACCTGAGAGTCTCAGATATTGTTTGTAATGTAAAGGATGTTCTGTTAGCAGTGAAGGCACAGTGTAATCAAATATTTATCAGTTCAGGGTTTTGGTTTGTGTTGGAAGTATGTATAAAGATTTTTTTTATTTAAAAACATAGAAAACAATAATCAGTTCTATGTAATGTATGTAAAGTTAGACAGATATCATCTATTTTGTACCAGAACAGTTCTGTTTTACATCTCTTTTTGCCTTTTCTGAAATAATAAAAATTTGTTTCAGTGCTGTGGTTCTGATATAATGCTGCAGGCATGCTTTTTTAACATTTATTTATTGGTTTTAACCGGTTTTACATGGTGCACCGTGAACATTAAATAAATAAATAAATAAATAAATAAATAAATAAATAAAAATAAATACATAAACAAACAAATAAATAAATAAAAATAAATAAATAAATAAATAAAAACAAATGAACAAATAAATAAATAAATAAATATAAATAAATAAATAAATAAAAAATACCACAACAACAACAGAAACAACATAGTAATAGAAACAAAAACAAAGCAAACCATAACA